CAGTAATACATATATATTTCATTTCTGAATGTCTCATACTTTTTTTAACTATGAAACTTCATAATTAAATACTTTTTTAAACTATGAAACTTCATAATTAAATACTTTTTTAAACTATGAAACTTCATAATTAAATGAAGAGGTAACTCTGGGGAATGGAAAGATGTGGATAGTATCATTACCTATTAAGAAAAATATCATTCAGAAATTTTTGTTTTTCAGGATGGCTGAGAGGAATTAACAGTTTTTGGTAAACACAGGCTTACCAAAGGTTCCCCATATCTGTTGACCTATACATTTCACAACTTTTACATTTTTTACTTTTACTTTTTAGAAATATATATTTTTTAATAGTGTATACTTTAATACAAGTGTACATCAGCATTTTCCCTATTTATTTTAAGGCACATTCTCTTAAAACAAGTTTTATTATTTAATTTAGTGTTAAATTGATCTTTTGTTTTAAGGATTTTAGATATTTTATTGGGAATGTAAGTAAGTAAGATTTTTTTTAAGTGCTTGTGGTAAATACCCAACGCATTCTCATCCTTTGGCGTCATATAGGTGACGCCATATGACATTTCGTCGAAATCTTACGCACATGGCATCCTTTAGCGTCAATATAACACGCACTGTTATGGGAAGGTTTAGGTCTGGGGTAGGTTACGGTTAAGACGCCTTGGGATATGCGTCTCATATTCACGCTAAACGATGCCATGTGCGTTGGATTTACACGCGCGTCACCTGTATGACGCCTTGGGATCTGCGTCTCATATTGATGCTAAAGGATGCCATGTGCGTAAGATTTCAACGAAATGTACAAGCGTCACATGTATGACGCCAAAGGATGAGAACGGGCTAAAATACCATACATTTTAGTGTGTTGTTGTTGTTACGGATGCAGCCACAGAAGAGGAAGATGGCTGGTGAATAATGATATGTATTGAACAACAAAAGTGCAGGGATGAGGTGAGCAGGGTGGTGGAGTCCAAAGGGAGATCTTGACGGAGAGACAGAGGAAAGAAGAGGTTGGAGACAGGGAGATCGCTGGAGTACAAGGGGAAGAGTCCACATACATTAAACGAACAAGGTCGGACAAGGAATTGTGGTGAGATGAGTGCATTTATAGTGGAGGTAATTAAGGTGATGATGAGATACAGGTGAGTGTGATGAGGAATGACGTGCAGGTGGGAACCAGGATGGATGCTGGGAAGTGTAGTGAAGAGGATGGTGACTAGGGTGAACTGTGACAATTGCATACTATCATATATATTATATTTAATGAAACCTTAAGGTTTTCTGACTGGGTAGAAACTTTAATCACATGACTGATTCTATTTGTGGTCTAGTTAGCATGAACTCTCTGACTTCTTGAGACTTGAGTACAAGATGAGGACAAGAAAAGTTTGAACCAACCTCATGACTTTTTCAGCTCCCATTCTTTACTCTTCTTTCCCATAATTCCTTGTCCTTTCCACGTTGTATTTTCTTTCATCATTGCAATAACATAATTAAAGTTTAATATTCATTGCATAAACATGCTTTGTTCTGCCTTTTCTTTCCAAAAGTTTCTGAGATTTTCAAAAATTACATTCACGCTGTGAGAGCCAACATAAATGCGTGCCAGGAGAAAGAATTAGCAAATAAACTGACAGCTTGCAAAATAGTTTTAGGACAAAGCATTTTTCAATACAGCACAGAGTTGTTTCAATGCAGTAATTAAGGGCTTCCGTTTTTTTTGCAACATGATCGTTACTCTTCTTTATTAACCTTCTGTACCGCTACATATGCTAGTGTTTTTTTCTCTCTCAAAAGCACACAGTTCTCACGCCCACCTCCATGTTTCTGTCCCTTATATATTTTCCTGCTTACCAGATGATTTAATGGAAGAGCTTAGCTCACCATTAAATCAAGCGAGATCAAAAGGCTAACTGAAATAAAACAGGATTTTGCTAAACTAAGAAGCCCTCTTCAGAGGAGGTAATTAACTTTGAGAAGAATCCATCTGGCCCAACTTGGTCAAAGATCAAGTAATCCCAGACCTGTGTCAAATGGAGTAAAGGCATGAAGATAATTGCAAAGAAAACCCTGAGCACAAGTTAAGTCAAACTCATTTTGAAGTTTTCAAAGGATATGTTGAATTTCTTAGATGGCTACTGGGTCATTGACCTTTAAGATTGTGTTTTACTAGGAACTAGCTTATCACCCGACTTGACTGAATATTCACAAAGTCCCTATTTAGTACAATTTCATGGAGTGGTAATGATTATTCATGGTCAGTCAGTTTTCTCACCCACCAGTGGCAGGTGGAATAAGTGGTTCTGTGTCCCATTGACTCCCTCAAATAAAGTCTATCGCATTTGTCTTGAAAAGGACTTACGGTTTTCTTTCTATTCACTAGCCTTTTGACTTGTCATTGCAAGTCTACTTTACTGCGTTTACTGAGTAAACAGAGAAAAGTGCCACATGAAGCCTGGGCATGAAGCATGATTTTGATGCCTTGATATAACTGGGATTGGGTCAGAATTTAAGTGCGAGACTTCTTACGCAGAAGACGTGACAAAACATCTGTCAGAAAATAGAAAACAAGTCTGGACTTTGGCGGATAATGCAGGATATTGTTAGCTTGCTTCTGCAGATTAGCTCATCTGAAATTGTGTGAAGACATTTACATATTCAGTTCCCCTTAATACTGAAATTTGACTCAAGGCAAGTGGTTATTGAACACACTGAAAAATAGCCCCAATGCTGTTGGCCCTCATTGATGATCATCTGTGGTCTGATGGCTCAGGCAAGGATATTTTCATAACTTCATAACAAGCTTTGTTCCTGGAGGTAGTTCATCATTTCGAGAGGTTGAATCGTCAAGTTTTAGAGTTGAAGTCATCCTTGATCCTTACATTATGAGGGCATAGGAGTAGAATCTGTGTGATTTTATGCTAAACTGTGTTAAGTGACCATTTAGTGTTTGTGTAAATTCTCAGCATGACCTCTTCTGAGGTGAACGACTTAAATGCAGCACTCGCTGTTTCATTACATAACTCAAAAAAAACAATCAGTAAATGATGCAGCTTGTCCAAGATGATAAATGTGTCGCTGTGGCCTGTGCCGACAGCTGGTGGGTGAAGTGAAAGTCTATTTCGGTTTGTTTCTGATATCTGCCAAACTATTTTTTTTTTTTTTTATGCACACACCAAACTGCAGTGGATGAGTCTTTTTGCTATACAATACAGTCAGGCAGGAATAGGGATGGGTGATATAGCTAAAAATACATCTGGATACAATATTTGGAGAATATATATATATATATATATATATATGTGTGTGTTAAATATTTAAAGTATATGGTTTTTTTTTTTTCTGTAGGAAGAATCAGAATTGATCAAACAGCCATTGTTGATTCAAAATTGTTATTGCCAGTAAAGCCACATTAACTCTTTCCCTCCCAGCATTTCTTTTAAAAAGATGCCAGTCACCACCAGTGTTTTTGACCATTTTCACAAAAATTTCATGGCCCCCAGAATATTTTCTTGTTTGAATATCTAAATAATATGCAATATATTAAAAGAAAGATCAGACCTTCTGCTTTTAAAACAAACAAACCATGTTTTATTCGGATTCAGAACGAACATAGATGGAGTAAATCGAGTCCATCAACACCTCCAAAGCTTCACAGTCCTATAGTTTGTCATGGGTCTACATTTAATTTAGTAATATTATGCAGTTTTGATTTAAATGCTGCTTAATGTTGATGATCGCATTATTTTACATGTACATATGATATCGCTAGTTTGTTTCTTTTTTGCCTGTGTTTTGATCAGGAGGTTCAGTACTCTTTCTGAAAATGTGTCATAGCGCCCCCTACCATATAACAGTGAAAATACGGAAAGCTGGAAATTTCCGTCAGTAGCGGGGAAATAGTTAATTAGTTAATGCCTTAACAATACTGAATATACACTCAAAAGTTTATGCATTCATTAATTTGAAGGGGTTCTAAGTGGTTAACTTTTTTTGACACAACAACCATATATATATATATATATATAATAGGTTTGAAGCAAACATTTCAATAATAGTACCACATTAGCTCAGTTTGACGTGTACGCTTACCTAAGAAAGTAATGGTTAATATAAGGTAACTACATGGGTTAATTTTAGGTTTAGGTGTTGTTACGAACCCCACTATTAAAGTGCTCGTTAAAGGAGGGGGTAAGCAACATAAAGACACGCGATGCAAAATATAACCGTTTAACAGTTTATTCTTGGAACACAACTCACGTGTCAGCAGGCAACAGATAATATTGACAGAAATGAACAATCATAGACCAACAAAACACTGAAACAAACAACATTGAAACCAGATAAATAGCTTAAACATCATGACGCACACAGGGCTCTCTCGAAGAAGAAGCGATCCCATCCGCTATGGAAACAAATAGTAGTTGGTCAACCTCCACGCCATTCTCTTTCCGCTCTCTCATTAGCCTATATATCCAGCCCAGGACATCACTGAACAGGTTGCAGGTGCGCAGGGGCGGAGCCTATTCCGGGAGAGAGAGAACCAGATCAACCAAAGAAATACAAACACACACAAATTAACATAAGGCTCAGGCCGTAACAGGTGTAGGTTCAGGGTTAGTACCTAGTTATTAACCCAGTTATTGTAATAAGTATAATAAGTACATACATGGGGAACAGGACTGTAAAATAAAGTAAAGAAAAGTGCTACCCTCACATTATTAGAGAGAGATTCAAAGTCAGTGCAGCCTTGTCTCAATTTTCATTTCATATAAGATTCATTGCAAGAACCCGCTGCAGACCAGCATTCATATTATGACCACGTCGAAGAGACAGACGGCAGATACAATTGCCTGTGAAAGTTTGAGTAATTGACATTCAATACGGAATCATGACGGGGAACACTCTGTCATTTTCCATTATAGGAGCTTTCCAACCGCAGCGACCGCAAATCTAACCACTGTCTTTTCATCTGGATTCAGATTCCGCAGATCAGCTACGCCTCCACCGCTCCAGAACTGAGCGATGACCGGCGGTACGATTTCTTCTCTCGCGTCGTGCCTCCCGACTCCTTCCAGGCCCAGGCCATGGTGGATATAGTGAAATCGATGGGATGGAACTACGTGTCTACGGTTGCCTCGGAGGGAAGCTACGGCGAGAAAGGAGTCGAGGCCTTCATGCAGATTTCCAGAGAAGCGGGTGAGTCAGACAAAACAATAAACAACAAGTCTTTGAAGATAAAGTCCTGAAGAACTCAAAGCAGTCTCTGCATGAGTAAACAAGTGTTGCAAAGACTCTTTTTTGGTTGTTTAGTTTAATCAGTGTTTACAGTTTATATTTTTAAATACAAGCCTTCTTCACTGTGAAATGTTTGGATTATGTTACTCATTCATCTCTGCAACACAAAGTTGATCGCTTAAGACAGCTGCGAACCATCAATAGGAAAAATTTGCAGTGTTTACCTAACAAGATTTTCACCTATCAAATAAATGAATATGTAAACAACCCAAATGTCTATCAACGGTGGAGATGTTGTGTCTCGAAGACACTTTTCACACAAAACAAAGCGCCCCAAGGAAAGAGGATTCATTCTAAACTTCGCCCTCAGTAGTGAGTGAAGACAATTACCAAACCTTAATTTAAATTAGATGGGAAGGTGTAACCTGACATGAAGTGAAATTGGGGTTGGTATTATCGACCAAAAAACCTCATGATTGTTTCACGCTTCTTAAAAATATGTGAAGTCTTGTGGTTGGTCAATTTGTAAACGAATCGGTCTCTTGAGTCAGATCTTTTTCATGAATCGTTTGAATCAGTTCAGAAAATCAGTTTGTGCTCATAGCTGTTTGGCAGGATCTGGGATAAACTGAACTGAAACGGTCCGAGTGGTTCTTCAATTCACAGACTTACTAAAGTCTTATTAAACCAATAACATTGAACCAGTTCTTTGAAAGAATTCAACCGATTCAACTTTATGCTAATATTCCACTGATTTTGTGTGCAACTGAAAATTTACCATAATTCCTTAATACAAATTCCTAGTCTTATTATGAGCAATTCATCAGCGCATTTTAAAGAAAAAATGTGTGTCCTTGTAACCTTAAAAGGACTTTAGTTTTGGACTCCCCTCCAACTGCATTGGTTTATTTTCATATAACCACATTTCATAAGTTTCAGATCTGACAAAAAATTCCCATCCTAGTTTTTATTTTATTCAGTATCCTGTTTCATGCTGAAATACGTTGCATTATGGAAATAAAATGGATTCTGAATGTCATTTTGTGTTGATTTTAGGAGAGTACGGGGAGATTAAACACAGTTTTTTTTTCTTTCTTTCTTTCTCTGGTGAAACGTATTATGTAAATATTTTAAAATGCACCGGATTTTGAGTGTAAAGTGCTTTAAGTGCTCGAGGGAAAGACTTCCTATGATATGTGTTTAGACTTTCCAAGGAGCCTTTGGCACACAGGTCGGTATGTTGGCAAAAACAACAGTGCTCAGCTGTTTGGCAGGGCGCTTCACTGTGGTTACTTTATGGCTGTAAATTTATGCGGATAATGAATGTTCTTCTTGTATTGATAGGGACATTGAGCCTCATTCATGAAACACAACAGAAGAAAATTGTTAATTGTTTGTTAAAACAATTTTTAAAAACATAGCATTCATAAATTTGTTGTTCTAGGGGAAAGGATTTAAGAAATTACATTTGACAAATTCGATCTTGAATGCACAAAGTTTCACGTCTTGGATGAAAGTTTGTCTTAAAAGGTTAATTAAAATAATTTTGTGCCTTCTCTGCTATATTATAATATAGATTATCAGTCAAACGTTTGAAATAAAGAAGACTGTTTTTTTTTTAAAGAAGACTATTATGCTCACCATGGCTGCATTTTTTTTAATCAAAAAGTAAAAACAGTAATACTCTATTCTATTTGAATGTATTTTATAAGTCTTCAGTGTCACACGATTCCAAACTAAGCCACAGCGAAACGGTTGTGTCTCCGACCAACACACATGCTTTCGTTTCTGAATGAATCGGCAGTTTTAACGAATTGTTTGAATGACTGATTCATTAAGCCTGTGAATTTCCACCACCTACTGGCGGTTTTTCATATTTAAAGGATATAATGTCATTAAAAATTTATTTAATCTCCAATAATACAAAACATTACTCTCGTAGCATTATAACTGCAGTGTAATGCATTGTGTAAATTCCATTTTCTTGCCAATAGAAACTTTTCTTACATTTAAAGTTGACAGAGTCCATTCTAGATGAGCTTGATGCTATTTAGTGCAAATGGATTATCATATTGTTGGTCTATTAAGTACCTGTTATACACTTTATTTACATTTGTAAACAGATGGGTATAGGGAGAAGAAAGGGATGGGAAAAGGGAGTTTCGGACTCAAAAGCTAAATCTGCTGTCCTTGCTCTACACGACACTCTCCCACTTTACCAGATCGGGTTCTTTTTTAATTTTGTCTGACCAAATCAGATAGTGGTAGGAAGATTTTAATATGAAACGTTTTTTTCTCTCCATAACAATCGCACAAAATTAGCCGGTTAAATAGACAGCTATAATATTTACACATGCATACGAGAATCGACTTTCTTCTGCCGCAGTCTGCTGTACTTTCCTGCATTTCTTGATTGACAGATGTATTGTCCAATCAGCGGTCAGTATTCCATTCGCCACATATACCTACCTTCAGGGGCGTGGTAGCGGGGGGAAAAGGGGTACCGAGTACCCAGGGCCCGAGGCAGGAGGGGGGGGGGGGGGGGGGGGGCCTTAGAAGTCGCCGCGCTCAAGTCAAAAAGTCCGTCTACATATCCGTGATAGCATATGTAAAATAACGCAATCATCAACATTAAACAGCATAAATCAAAACTGGCTAATGTTACAGATGAAATGTCGACCCAGGATGAGCTGTAGGACTGTGAATCGTTTGGGGGTGTTGATGGACTCGATCTACTTCATCTGTGTTTTGATCAACGTTCTGAATCCGATCTGGATGTAGTCTTTGACAAAAACGAGATTTTCTCAACTTTTTGCTCAGCTTTCAGCTTTTTGCTTCATTTTTACATGAAATGTACCCACTTTCAAGTGTCGATAAAAAATAATGCATGAAACTAGAATAAAACAGGGGTTATTTGTTTAAAAGCAGAGTGTCTGTTCTTTCTTTTGATACATTGCATGCTCAGATATTCATACAACTAAATTTTCTGGGGGCAATGAAACTTGTGAAAATGATCAAAAATGTTGGCGGTGGCTGGCAACTTTTTTCAAAAACACTGGTGGGGAAAGTGTTAACTATTTCAAACGTTTGATCGGTGGTATGTTATAATCTGTTATACTTATTGCAAATATGAATGTTAAAAAAAAATCCAAAATATCATATAGAAAGCTGTGAGTAGCTATCTTTATGTTGTAACACCTTGCATATGGATTCCCTCCAGATTCACACAACCTCAGAGATATTTTAGCACTCAGCATACTCTGTTAATTGGGCCTACTGTCCGATTTAGCACTGCATGAGGTGGAATATATCTCTTCTGTCAGTGTGGTATAGAAAGCTCAGATTAGCAACATTTCTCACTTTACCGAAAGCCTTTTTCACTTCTTCTTTGTGTAGCCAGTGAATTTACGTGTAGAGTTTATTTTGCAGACAGAAATTGAAGCAAACCTAACACCTACGTCCACACCTACCTCCAGGTATTTGTCATTTTACCGTTGCGTGCCAGATTTACCAACCACCCCGGCTTGTTTATTAATTTTTATTTATGAAGCAATTTACAGTCCACTCAGGATCAGAAGAGAGGAGACAGTTATTAATGATCCTAATTTGCGTATTTGATTATCCTGTATGAGTGGCAGTTCGCACTGTTTATCACTCTTATTGCTTTGGCACACAAGTGGCACTGTGCTTATCCTGTGGGAGACAACGGAAACGTTTTTTCATATGGTTGAGAACACAGCTGTGTGTGATGTGGAATGCCTTCGACTTCATTATCCTGAGCTACAGTATGTTTGCACACTGAACAAAATTATAAACGCAACACTTTTGTTTTTGCCCCCATTTTTCATGAGCTGAACTCAAAGATCTAAGACTTTTTCTATGTACACAAAACGCCTATTTCTCTCAGATATTGTTCACAAATGTGTCTAAATCTGTGTTAGTGAGCACTTCTCCTCTGCCGAGATCATCCATCCACCTCACAGGTGTGGCATATCAAGATGCCGATTAGACAGCATGATTATTGCACAGGTGTGCCTTAGGCTGGCAACAATAAAAGGCCACTCTAAAATGTGCAGTTTTACTGTATTCCGGGGGTCCGAAATTTGTTCAGTGTATGTGTGCACAAAACCGCTGACATCAAGACTTTAACGTGCTTCATTTGATTTGAATTAAACATGTTCACTGAACTTCTATCCACTAGATGAGAAGATGCACCTGAGAGCATTTCTAAAAAAGACTTAAATGTTGAATGCTCTTGGGATGGTGTATTCCCAGGTAACCGGTTCTCTCACAGTAATGAAAAAAAACGTTCCTCTAATAGCGCTAATGGATTGCTTGTTCAAGAAATCTGATGTTCTCAAAATGTTAGTACACAAACTTTATTTATACATCAATCATGGAATGTTTTTCTAAAACTTTTAAGTTGGATGTTCGTCTAACTTTTTTTTAAAATGTCTCTTATTTCAAAACGTCCAGAGAACATTCAAAAGTAACATTCCCATAATGTTTGTATAACCAAGAAAAAGAATTTTCTTTTGAGAACTTTTAAAACGTTTAGAAGAAAAGAAGAGAACATTCGGAAATAATGTTTTCAACGTTAACAAAATGTTCTCAGAATGCATGAAAATTACCATTAAAGGGTTAGTTCACCCAAAAATGATAATTCTGTCAGTAATTACTCACCCTCATGTTGTGAGGGTGAGTAATTACTGGCAGAATTGTCATATTTGGGTGAACTAACCCTTTAAAACAAAATTGACAAAACCTATTTTTATGGAATATCGCAGTAATTATTATAAATGATTTAGTGTGCAAATCCTAATTTTTTTAATCTTTAATCAAAATACTTCCCTTCCCTTCCCATCCCTATCCCATCCCATCCCTTCCCTGACCTGTCACCCACATGAGATCGACCAATAGCAAACCACAACAATCCAATCAATCCCCCATAGACAAAATCC